CGAAGGGACGACATTGACAGTCCGCCGCCGCCGCCCCGGCCGGCGGCGGCAGTGCGTCATACTCCGCGGCTCTAGCGTCGCCGGTAACGGCGGCGGCGGCGGAGTGTGCCGCGGCTCCGGGGATGGTCGCACGGGTGTTGCTGGAGCGCGTCCTCGTCGTCGCGAGGGTCCACCCACCGGAGGTGGACCCGCAGGGAGTTGTAGAGAGGCTCTGGGTGGGAGTGCAGAGGATATCGGGGACGCTGTGCGCTACCGCCGCCGCCGCCGCCGCAGCAGCAGCAGCAAGCCCGCCAGCTACGGGGACAATGGCCTCCTCCACTCTTGGAGCGGTGACGGCAGCAGCGGTGGAGGGTGGACAGCAGGCTGGAGGTGGCGGCGGGCCGGATTCAAGGCCCGAAGCGCGGGAGGAGAGGAGGGATCGAAGCGCCAGGAGGTTGGCGAGGCGGAAGACGTCGTCTTCGCACGCAGCGTCGACCGGTAAGAGGAGGCCGAAAGTGAAAAAACGGTTTTTGGCGTCCTCTTGTTATGTGGCGGTGTGTCGTGCCTGTGGCAGCAAAGTAAGTTCCCCGGACGTCTTCTGCTTTTGATGCCCCCCCTTCTCGGCCTGGTTGACGATGAAGTCGACAAGTTCAAATGTGAAGTCGGCTCCGAGTGCGAAGACCGGGTTCATGTAAATGGCTGCGGGATGTCCGTTGTACAAGAAGGAGAGGGAAGTGTACATGGCTGAGCTGGGAAAAGTAGAAGGAAGATACAGCAAGTGATATCGGTAGCGTAGATAAGACTAGGAAACATTATTGAGCCACCTTTGGCAAAGTAGGACGGGACGATTGGCCATCGGTGATCGGTCCTGTGGGAACAATGCTCCGTCCTGTCGAGGACGCGTGGTCAATGGTCTAACCGCTAAGGCATGCAAACATAAGAGTACGTCCCCCCCCCTCCTCGGCCTGGTACATAGGAACGCACAGGGACGATCCGACCTGTGCCTACGATAGGCGGGCAACGTGCATCGACGCGTCGGTGGTGTCACATGTGATAGAGACGCTCTTTGCCTCTTGCCTCACACAACCCCCCCCC